GCAGCAGCAGCAGCAGCAGCAGGGCACAGTTTGTCAAGGGGCGCTGAGCTTTGTTTTGAATCTAAGCTAAACATACACATATACGTCCCGGGTGGCAAGCAGCTAGCAATGCACGGAGAAGGGCTGTGAGAGAAACACTGTTCAGGTGGTGGCACCGTGGCTGGAAGCATATCCTCCCAGTTGCCTATGCCTGTGCGAGACCTTGCCAAAGCTTTCATGAAGGCTGGCCTGTGTAACTTGGGGCCGAAGGATCAACGGAATTTAACTTGTAGTTGGTTGTGACACTGTGACTGCCATTCGATGACCAGACAGCTGGGCCTGGGACCCTAGCTCTTTCAAGAAGGGTGTCTTCAAGCAGTGCTACAGCCTCACCAGGACGATATGACCGAAGTCGAGTGGGTAGCCGGCGAGCCACAAGAACCTCCCAGCTGCTGTACCACGTTTGAGCTTTCAGAGTTGCTTGGCAGAAGCACCCACAATCCATGATATGACTCTATCCTTTTTTGGTCGGCGATTTTGCCTTTCCAGGCCGGGAGCGAGCCCCAAAGAGGGAAACAGCTTCCCGGCTGCAGACGGAGTAGGCCACTTTCGAGGTTGACGTGTTGCACAGAGTTTTCTGAAGTGGCAGTGGCATTCCGTGTTTGTCATGCCAGGCAACTCCGAGCCGAGTCAGCAACCGCAAAGGCCTGCCATTCCTGCATCCCGCTGCGCCTGAGCCCGCGCCCCTCCTTTCCCAGGCCGGTTTCTTTGAGGCACAGCTCCAGTTCCGGCCCCTTGAGCTGCATAATGATGCCACTGCAGGTACCAGAATAACATGTCGGCCGAAAGTTCGGTACCGCGCCGTGATCTGACAGGCAGTGACGCTCTGCAGGGACCTCCGCGGTCCCCCAGGCCTGATAGACGCCAAAAATCTAGCACAAAGCAAAGCATGCAACTGCTGTTGCTGTTGCTGTGCTAGAGGTTGTACTGGCGGTGGGGGTTGTGATGCTTGTGGTTGTTGTTGCTGTTGCAGTTGTTGCCACCACGGTTCACGGCAGTCTGTGTAGTTCGTTCCAAGCTTACCTGGTTTGCGCCTCTGCGAGCGCTCGCTGGGAAGTGGGACCTGGATCGCCTGAGTGCCTGAGCTTTCAGAGAAGCTTCGGAATGCACAGTGTCGAGCACAGGCAAAGTAAACTGCCACCGGTTGCGGCACATTGCGACGCAGCCGGTGCGATCGAGTCGATCAATCTTAAGGGGGCCACGTATCCTTTAGGCCGCACGCCAGACTTGTCTATCAAGACAAGGCGCAGGTTGGGAACGTTTTCAGTCCCAATACGCAGCCTTTGCCTTGGTGCGGCTCCGCGTCATAGCTGGGTACAGTCATGAAGCCAGCGCGCTTGCTGTGATTTGGGTGCCGGGCGTCGGCCTTCCCAGCGGTGGTTGGTGGTTGGTGGTTTGTGGTTGTTTGCTGTTGCTGTTTGTTGCTTGCTGTTTGCTGTTGTTGCTGCTGCTGTGTGCAGGTTTTTTACATCTATCTTGTTTTCGGTTGCGTTTCTGCTGCTGAAGAACTTCGGGCCACACACAGCAGGTCCGGCAATTGAGTCTGTGTCCTTCGTCTGACATTCGCAGGGAACGCTGGAGTTGTGACATTCGGTTTGGCCGCACGCAATACGCGTTCGTCTGTTACGGTTCTTCGTAATGTGGAGCCCCAAAGGCATGCAGCAGTTGTAGCTTGCCGAAGTTGCAGGGATCATTGCCACGTTTTACAACATGTCATGTCCCTTTCACAGAAGCTGATGCCTGCGCATCCACAAATGTGCAACAGCATAGGATGAACCAGACTGTCGGAGTACAGCGAATGAAACACCAAATCGTATAGCTGAAGGTAGCGTTTGGCGCTGTCCTTGCTTGGGAGTTCGTGTCTGGTCTCCACACCAGGCTTGGGCAGCTGAACCACAGCTCAAGCGTCAGCACCACCGGCTGAATTTGGAGTACATGGAGATATGGATGTGGATGGATCTTGTAACGAAAGAATGTCTGGCCGCGTCTTGGCCGAGGCAGTCAGGATGGCACTTTGGGCCTCCCACGGTCTCCCAGGCGCGCTTCCTGAAGAATATAAGGATCTGTCTGAAGCAGCTGTGTGCCGCTCTGAACACCCTGCGCAGCGTTTGGATGGTGAGATGCTTGCAGGCCTGGCGGCCTGAATCACAGCTCAAGTGTCAGTGTCCTTGACAGCATCCGGTTGGCTCTAATCTAACATGGGGCTGCGCTCGCTGCCTTTCACAGAGCTTGAAGCAAAGTGCAGCCCAGGTAGTTCCGACGGCACCCTTGGCCTCCCCAGGTGGTCTGCTCTCTGTCGGTGCACATGAGAGCGAATCCGATGCCGCTGTGCAGTTTTGACAGGCCTGCTCACTTGCAGCACAGCTCCTCCACCGTGAGTGCCCGTGCTTGCAAATTAGTGCGCAGTCAAGCCTCAGGCAGATTAGCCGAGGCACCAGGCACCAGTGAACCCTGGCTCTCTTTAATGTGTGCTGAAGCTGTGCTGAAGGCAGCTCCGATGGAACTTTGGGCCTTCCTAGGCCCGCGGCCCGTCCTGCCAGTGTTTAGCGACGGTCTCGTCGTTCTCTCCTGGCTGAGCCGACAGGCTGCTGGGACTGAACCACAGCACCTCGAACGTCAGCAACGCCAGTTGCAGGCAACTTTGCTGAAACGCACTTGTCTGCGACACTGCCCAAAACGTGGACGTGCAGATGCAAAATACTGTACCTGGAGAATACCATGCTGCAACATCTTGCAGGCAGACGATAAACCGCAGTTCATCCATGGGCGACTCCTGCTGCAGAAGGATGAGCATGCAGAACTTCGCATACACAACCCGAATCAAGAATGGGAGTGCGCTGTTCTGCACGTCTAGCTTGTATCTGAGGCAGCGAGAAGGGAGACACTGCCAGTGCGTTCTTGCGGAGGTAGGGCGCTGAAGCACGACATGAGAAAAGGAACTTCAAGTTTGAGTGAATGGAGGGCCGCAGGGGTCTTGGCCGAGGCAGTTCGGCAGGAGGAGCAGCTCAAACTGCAGCAGCTTGGCATGAAGGGCTCATCGGTAGAGATGCGGCAAATCTGCCAGAGCCTGTCGACTTATGACCGAGGTACTGGCAGCGTTGGTGGCGGTGGGCTCGGTGCGCTGCAAAGGCGTGTGCACGTGAAGCTTCAATTCGAATTCGAGCGCAGCTCGGGGCAGCTGCGGTCTTGCTCACTCAGTACGGCCCTGTGGAAGGCGACTAGGGTTGATGGCCTCAGGCAGCAGCTTGGATGCAACATGCGACCAATCCCGGCAAAGCCAAACAGCTGAACATCCAGGCTATGTGCACAACGAGGAGGGCCTCAGGCACGCTCTTGATTTTGGGTGGGCGGAGAGACGGAACCCTTGTTTCTATCGACCCTCTCAGACCGCTGGGCTTGTACCGTGGCACCTCCAACGCTAGCACTGAGCCCAGGGGGAGCTGGAATTCGAGCATCCTTGCAGTGTTTGTGGAGCGTTGGGCCATTCCCTTAGGTAGCGTGATCGAATCGGAAGGCATGAGGAGATCCGAATCCGTGCTCGCAGCCTCCGCTCTCCCTCTCCCTCTCCCTCTCTCCCTCTCTCCCTCTCTCTCTCTCTCTTCTCCTCTCTCTCTCTCTCTCTCTGTCTGTCTGTCTGTATAGAGTCTAACAGATCGCTGCAAGAAGCTTGCATACACGCTTTGGCCTCGAGGAGGCTGCCTTTCAACCGGAGCTGTTCCAATTTCAGCAACTTCAGCTGCACATCCTTCGTTGACTTCAACCGAAAGCACGGGTGGCACGCCTGCAAGTTGCATGGTGGGCACGAGGGGTTTTAATCCGAGTGTAGGGAGCCAGCATCGAGTCACAAGCTCTTAAGGCTCGGTGGCGTGGAGACGCCATCCTTCCTCCAGTTCCTCGCCACGGTACATGATGCAGGCATAATGGCTCAGCAAGGCAACCGCCCGCGGCGGTTGCAGAGCATACAGGACAGGGCATCCAGTTTTCATTGCTCCACGCTAGTGCAAACCTTGCACTATGTTGGACTATTTTGGGCTTCGTGAGTTTCACGACTACCATCGGGCTTGTCCTTCTGGTGAGCCCTTCACTCACTGCCAGGAGAGAGAACTGGACGAAGCGTTCAGCAACATTCACGAAGTTGATGACATGGATGGGCACGACCGAATGTCTTACCATTCATCGCAAGAAATGGGCAAGGCAAGCATCAGCATTTGCCACGAGCTGTGGAATGGGAGCAGTGGCATGCGCGCAGATTTGTCAGGCGTCGGTGTTCGAGATGATCACTTCATCTGGATCTGTGACTTTGTCCACACGGCTGCTTGACAGCAGGTCAGGACGAAGACGCGCCCTGTGGCTCGGGGGCCTGCTCAGGTGCTTGAAGACCCAAGCTGCTTGGCAGCGCTCCCTTATCGAGCAGCAGAGGCGTGCATGGGCCGATGTGTTTCCGACCGCAGATGCCTCTTCACGCTTGTCTTGCATAGGGATTGTCATCCTGCGGGCAGGTGCTTGCTGGGTCTCGTGTCGCGAAAGCTTCACAAAGCAGAGGAAAAGACTCGGGTGGACACGGCCGTCAGCGAAGATCAGCGGGAGTTGTTTACCAGTCGCATTTTTATCAGGACTGTGCATAACGAAACCAATGCACATCAAGGGCTTGTGCCGATGCACGTCCACAGCTGAGCTGCTGAGGTTGCGGAACTTCCGAAAGATAGTTACGAAAGACATGGAGGGTGAGGAAGCCGACCTTCAAGGACGCAAGGTAGTTGTCATCGTCGTGGTGGAGACGTCCCCGGTGCTTCGAGCAGAGGTGGCGCAATTGTGTCAGTTGCTTGAGCCCCTTGAACTGTTTGAGAAACTCCAACCTCGAATTAAAATTCCAGCTGTCAGCTGCCTACTGCGGCCGGTAAATGTGACAAGGTACCCGTGCACCACTTTTGGCAGCCTGAAAGCTGCAGCTGCTGAGATCAGCAACATCCTGGAGAGTGCTGGAAGCTTTGCTAAAAGAGAGATGCTCGACCTGTGTTAGCACAAACTCGCGCTGCAGCCAGGCGCAAAAGCAGCGGAATCTCCAACTTTCCTGGTGTTACTGGGCACAGCATGGCTAGATCGCGACCTTCCTGTTCAATTCAAGCAGGTGCGGAGGGAGCATCAAGAAGCCCGAAATGCCTACTCTACCACTCTACGCCTCCAAGCGTGGCCTTGTGTGGATAGACCAGCTTGAAGCGCTACCTGGAGATTTTGCCGATGTTGTTGGCTCCGTGAGGACCCTGTGTACGTGACACTCGCGAGCCAAACGGAGGAGCTGGAAACGGCAACTCCGAAGCACATGCGCGACAGAGTCCAAGCAGCTGCAGAAGATTCCACGCCTGACCATAAGGTCGGAAGTGAACTTTGTGCTTCCAGTGACGACCAAATTCGCCTCCTGCTGAAGGAGCGAGGCACGCCGGGCAATGCGAGCTGGATGTCAAACAGACTCTTCAAGACCCGAACCCTTCAGGCATCCGGGAGTATTTGCTACACCCGCTATCGCTGGAAGACGTGCGACGCACAGCAGAAGCTGCCTTGCAGCGACGATGGGCCGAGGTCGCCGACCCAGGGGGTCCAGTCGGCCTTCTCAGAATTTTGCTGGGAAGTTGTCGAGATGTTACCCAACACTCAGCAGACTCAGACAATGACTCTGCCACTGCAGTCAGACGGGGCTACACAACTTCTCTACCACTTCAGGGTGGCGTCGCAAGAACTCTGCTGAACGTGTGGCCGAACAGGAGTTCCTGGTCTGCGAGACTCTGGGCAGAGGGTCTTCTGGAGTGGTGCATCGAGTCAAACGCCTCCGAGACGGGCGAATGTTCGCCATGAAGGCTTGCAGATTTGACAACTGTGGGGTAGGTGTGGACATCAGCATGTGCGGCTGTGATCAGCTCTTCAGGAGGTGCCGACTCGGCTTCTTCGTGAGAAGGATCGTCAAAGCCTGTTGCAAGAGGCACAGGGAAAGCTGTCATGCTGCAGCAGAGTGAAAGCCAGGCTGCGAATTTGGTTTTCTGCAGGTTGCTCTGATGCAGAAACTTGCCTGGCCAACCATCGTTTCCTTGACTACAGCTTGGGAGAACAGGCACGGGCTTTGCTGCAGTATACGTCTATACGTCGCAGTCGAGAAGTGACTGCGCCCCCAGTGCTGGTTTATGTTTTTTGCAGGCAGCAGCGTCTGCACTATATGGCATCTTCGCCCAATTAAAGCCAGGGTCCAGCAGCTGCTTTGAGTGCAACCTGCTTGCTGTGCCAGTCAAAACTTGTCTCGTGCTGACAAGGTAATGCCATTTATGGAAGGTGGGTCTCTGAAGAGCCGCATCACTCAAGCCCTTCTGCCTGATGCAGAAGGCCATGTAGCGAAGCCGTCCTGGGCACTGTTGTGAAAAGCACATTCAAACCCGCAGGCATGGACCCTCTGACACGAAGCACCTCGAGTTTCAGCATACGCCGCGGCTGCAGAGACTTGCGGCTTTGATGCATGTTTCGGCCACACATCCCATTGAGGTGAGAAGCACTTGGGAGCCTGGTATCTTCAATGCCTTCATGGCATGGCCTACCTGCATATGCAGGGAGTGTTGCACAGGGACATCAAGCCGGATGCTTGCCAGATCAGTCAAGCCGTCGTCTGCAAAGCAGGCGTCGATAGCCACTCCTGGGTCGCGCTTGAGACTGGACTGCTTGCGCCTCTCTCCAAGGACAACTTGCTCCTTGGGCAAGGGGGCGTGTGCCTTCAGAGGCTTGGCGCATTCAGCTAGGAGCTGCGAGCCAGTCCAGAGTTGCTTGCATTCCACCGTGCTGCTTCGTCTGCCCATGTGCTGGCAGTTTAGGATCTGTGATTTGGGCAGTGCCATGCGTCTACCTGGCAAGGGGCCTCACCCCCGCAAGGCGAGGCTCCAAAAAAGTGGCCGCGGCTTTGCCAATGAAAGTGCTCTGGTCGCCAATGCCAGGACGCATCTGTGGAGGCTCCCATCACTACTCCTCTTTACTCTGCCCCCGAGGCAGGACTTGCTCCTAGCCCAGCGACCCAGTGAGTAGTACAGGATGCATACACCATACGGCAAATGGTCCCTCAGCAAAGCTGATTACTTTACACTGCTCGCCCCAGTTGGAGGATGGAGTTACAGCAGGTCTAGTCGATGCGCTGCAGGTGGCAAAGTGGCAGCGCACCTCTGCAGCTTCGGACATGTGGTCGGTGGGTGCCACCTTCTACGAGGCTCGGAGCCGAGTGAGCAACGTCGAAAGCGGTCGTGTCGCGTCGGTTTTCTACTCAGGCGATCACTTTACAAACATTGGCTCCTCCGCGCTTCGGTGGGCCGCAGGCTGTCGATTAACAGGTACAGAGTGATAGTCAGATAACGGGTGTCGGCAACGCCTGACTTTCCAGGGCCGAAGTTGGACTCGCTGAATTTCAATCTAGAGTCTAGAGGGCCTCGATGAAGGTCTCCCTTTGCTCCCTAGACCCTAGACATACTTGGCCACAGGAGCTTGGCTCCTGGCTTGCGAGCCTTGCGGACTCGCTATCAGTGCAGAGCATCAGCACAGTCGCCACAGGTGCCTCGAACGGTCCTGTCTGCCTCGGAGCATGTCCTGTCGCTTCAAGGATCTCCTTCCAGCTCCGGTGGAGTGCCATCAGACGACTTCCGCAAAGCGCTGGAGGCTGTTTCTGCACACAGCTCGCGGGTCTTGTACTTTGCAGCTGTTGTGCTGCGGGGATATGTTGAGCTCTGTGAGACCCTGTAGGCGCTGGAGCTCACTGCAGGACGCATGGCTGCTTGCGGGGGTGCTTGTTAATTTGGGGGTTTGTGACATTTTGGGACCACAGGTGTTGCAAGCTCGGACTGAGCCCTGAACGCGTATTGAGTAGAATCGGTGCCTCTGCTGCGCTGTGCGCAGAGCACAGGAATTGCTACGGACTACGACTTTCGAGGACAAGGCAAATTGGAGGAGCGAGCAATCGACCCGTGACCTGCAATAAACCTCCCTCCGAGTCTCCGAGTCCGAGTCGGAGCAGGGGCGAGAAGAGCCGGTCGGTGGGTGGGCGGGCGGGGTGAGCGAAGAAGAGTGCAGTGAGTGGAGCCGAGCGTCTCTGATGATTCGTGAAATGCAGTTGTTTGCAGGAGATCCTTTGCGTACCTTTCGACCAGCGGCCCTGTGCAGCTGCAATTCTCGCAGACAGACGTGGCCTCAGAAATCTCAAGCATGTGTGCAAGTCAAGAACGGATGCATGGCGACTCTTCACAGTAAGCCGCTGCACATGCGCTGGAATTATTGGCGTCATCATTGTGATCATGGCTCCTCCTCCCTCACCTCCCTCGACATGCAGCTTGAAGATGATTGCAGCTTTGCGGTTGCAGTGGAGGCATTTGCTTCATGACCATGGCCATCACCTTTACCACCACCCACCACCCACCACCCA